CACACACACACCACACACATACACACACATCACACACACCACACACATACACAAACACACCACACACACACCACACACACATACAGGCATGCAAATGCACACACTTATACACGTGGCATACAATTTCCAAGTCAAGAATGAAAGGCTGGAAGTGGCTCATGGAGGAGTTAGGTAGGTTTGACTTTTGGGGAAAGAGATTTATTAAAAGAAATCAATGCCACAGACACACGAGCATATAGCAGCATAGTGTGGGCTCTGATGAGGGTTCAGGCTTCAGTGCCATAGACACATAGACAACATGGCTGGGGCTCTGAAGAGAATTCAAGTTCCATAAGGTAGAGCGGGGGTGGGGGGCAGGGGAGCTTCCTATAGGTTTCAGTGGAAGGGGAAGGTTTCATGGAACCAGGCTGCCTCTGATTCCCCTGCAGGCAGCAGGGGAGGAGAAGGAAGGTCTTGCATTACCAGGAAGAAATATGTCACTCTGAAGAGCATGGGCACACCTAGTTGAGACATACCCATTAATGGCAGACCTTCTATGTCCAGAGAGTCTAACAACCTAAGGTCTATGAGGTGGGATGAGCCTGTTACAGGGTTAAAGATTTACAGGTTTGTGATTCCTATCATAGAAAGAGGTTGTCTGGCTTGACCAAGGCCATAGGTCTGATTCTTAGCATTGCAACAATAATGCAGGAAAATTATTTTTTATGGGGGAAATGGAAGGAATAATGGAATCAGAAACCAATACTTTGCAATCCTCAATTTAAGAAATGATTTGGCAGGGCTAGAGAGATGGCTTAGCTGTTAAGAGCAGTGTCTGCTCTTCCAGAGGTCCTGAGTTCAATTCCCAGCACCCACATGATGGCTCACAACCATCTATAGTGTGATCTGATGCCCTCTTCTGGCCTGCAGGTACACATGCAGATAGAACAATGGTATACATAAGTAACTCTTTAAAAATAAAAGTGTAAATTTAAAAAATGATTTGGCAAAGAATCACTAGTAGGTGCTAAACTCACTGGTCAAATGATTACCAGGCGATGGGACATTGGGTCTCATGGTGACATCATCCTGCAGATGATGAGCTCTTAAATTTCAAAGCAAAGACACAGCTGTGCAGTACTGAACCCTCAGGGCTGGAGATGGCTCAACAGTTAAGAGCACTTGTTTGAGCTGGCAGAGGACTCATGCTCAATACCCAGTACCCACATTGTGGCTTACAACCATCCACAAGCCCAGTTCCTGTGGACACATGAAGTACACATGATACTTAAACTTATATAGTAAAATAGATAAATCTACATTAAAAAAAAAAAAACTGAACCTGATAGGGCTGGAGATGTAGCTGGTGGTATTTGCCTCAGAGCATGAAGTCCAGAACCACAGAAAAATGTATGTGGTGGTGCGTGCCTGTGATTGTGGCACTTGAAAGGTAGAAGCAGGGGGACCATAAGCTAAGCACTGTCTCAGCTACACAGTGAGTTTGTGGTTTCGGGTACATATGACCTGTCTCAGGAACAAGAAAACATTTTCTCTTATTAAAAAATAGGAACTGGAGAAATAGCTTACAGTAGAGAGTGTTCCCTGCTCTTCCAGAGGACCAGAGTGTGGTGCTCAAAAAAGCTGGTTCACATTCTACTGTAACTCCATCCCCAGAGGACCCAATGAGTGTTGGATCCTCTGGCCTCCATGGACGGACGGACACACACACACACACACTTACTTTTAAAAAATTAAAAGCTGGGCAGTGTTGATACAAGCCTTTAATCCCTGCACTTGGAAGGCAAAAGCAGGCAGATCTCTGTGAGTTCTAGTCCAGCCTGGTCTACAGTGTGAGTTCCAGGACAGCCAAGGCCACACAGGAAAACCCTGTCTTGAAAAAACAAATAAATAATAAAAATTAAAATAAATTTTAAAACTTTGAACCTGAATTCAACCCTTAGGCAACAACCAGGCATACCCAGAGTGTAGGATACATTTCTGTGCAACAAATGGCCTTGAATAAAAAATATCTCTTTTTTTAAAGATTAATTTATTTTTATTTTATGCATGTGAGTTTTGCCTGGATGAATATCCATGTACCACATATGTGTCTGGTACATGCAGAGGTCAAAAGAGGGTGTCAGATCCCCTGGAATGGGAGTTCCAGATGGTTGTGAGCTGCCACATGGCTGCTGGGAATTGTACCCTGGTCCTCTAGAAGAGTAAACAGTGCTCTTACCACTGAGCCATCTCTCCAGCCCCTCAAATGGTTTTGTAAACATCTCACAAAGGTAGGAGGGTCATTCTCTGATAGATACAATTCCCTGTATAAAGATTTCTTGCTATTTGGTGTCCAAAAAAGCCAACAAAAGCCAGTGGGGGTGAGTACATCCTAGTCAGGGAACACATGCTGACCTGTGACTCCTGGGATGCTGTGTGGAATACCAGTCCCTGGAACAGAGACAGCCTTCCACCCAACTGACCGAATCCATTCCCATGGAGGTGTCAGAGTCAAGCAGTGATACCTCAAAGCAGGGATGGCGCCTACAGGCAGAGGCCCACCAGGCTGGTCCAGCCCTCCAAGCCTAACTGGTGTTGCCCCATGATTCAGCAGTGTCTGGTCATCCTCCTGACACAAGTCGGGGAGTCCTGTGGTGCCAGGCCTCTTGGAGTTGAGGTAGGAGGGTCAATAACAGGGAGTCCAGCACAGCTAGACCTTCCCAGGAACACCGGAGACCCCTGGAAAACAGAGAGGTCTGGATGTGACTCTACCTTTACCATGAAGGCCCATTCCTGCCCACCCCTGGCAGCTCGCACACCCTTCTCTATTGGTCATCCTTGTTTCTACCACTTTGAAGAAGAGGGGCACATTTAGTTGTGGCATACACATTACGGCAGCCCTCCCATGCCCCAAACTGTAGTCAAGGGCTCACAGGGACTGCGAAGCCCCCTCCGCACAAGACACCCAACATACCTATGGTCCAGCAGCAACAGACCCTGTGCTAGCAGCTCCTCCACCTCCCTGCTTGCTCCAAAGACGTCCCATAGGCTCAGCTGAGGCTCAAATTGCTGCCAGTGCTAGGAAACAGAAGAGTCAGGACAATGAGCTGGCCAAGGGCCATGTGGCTGGATACACAAAGTGGTCAAACACACACACACACACACACACACACACACACATACATCACACTTGGATTTCGTGGTAAATAATAGCTCAGTGGTAGAACACTTGCCCAGCATAGAGCATCATGAAGCTCTAGGTGCAATTTTTAACCATCATACAACACTACCCACTGCCTCTCACCAGACTTCAGCTGGCTGGGTCCAACTTCTAGCTGCAACCTAGAGGATGGAGGGAGTAGGGTCTGGGAAGTGACTGGTTCTCTAACTCTTTATTTTTTTTATAGTATAGAATAGAGTTTATTGCCAGGCAGTGGTGGCACACACCTTTAATCCCAGCACTTGGGAGGCAAAAGCAGGTAGATTTCTGAGTTCAAGGCCAGCCTGGTATGCAGAGTGAGTTCCAGGACAGCTAGGGCTACACAGAGAAACCCTGTCTCTAAAAAACAAAACCCAAACAAACCAACAAAAAAAAGAATAGAGTTTATTCAGGGCATGGGAAGGGGAGTTGAGGGAGTAGTGACAGAGAGAGAGAGAGAGAGAGAGA